GTATATGTATATAATACACCATTGAGCTACTTTACTAACAGAGAGAAACACATACTTATGTAATCACTTGCCTTTCATGGCAGCAGCCAATAAATAAATTTGGGACAAAACGTAAGGACATTTGTGTTTGGTAGATTATTTCTTTATTGTAACAATGCTTCTTGGCAATAAATCGTATCCCGTTGAAGTCCTGTGAATTTCTCTTTTAAAATGGTGCCACATTTGTAAGGAACATGCAATTGTGGGATGAGCAGTTGAGCTGATTGTGTTGTTCACATGAAAAAATGTGCCAAGTCTTCCCTGTCAAACAGCTCATTTTGCTGTTGTTATTGACACTTGTTTGGGGGGGGGGGTAGGCCTGTGGGCCAAACCCAGTCCACAGACCACCAGTTTGTTGTCCGTGCTTTAGAGGATTGGGCAGCTGGAGTGATACTATTTCACATTTAGCTCCAAACCTAACTGTTTTTAAAGAACCTGAGCTGTAAACGTACCTGTCTGTAAAGCTTGCTGCTCCTTCAACACGTTCAGCTCCTGAATGATGTCGTCAATCTGCTTCTGCAGCTTCTCCACAGCAGCAGCGTTCACAGAATCTGCTCAGAGAGGCAACAATGTGTTACTGAGCTGTCACAGCAGAGCAGGGAGGAACCTCCACGTCCCGAGCTAACAAGCAGTCCAAACCTTTTTTGCCATTCTTTTTCTTGGAGGAGGTCTGCTGCAKCGAGAAGCTCACCACGAGAAGAAGATGAAATGTTACCCAGAGCCCTCTGGCCTCCATCGTACCACTGTGAGGAAACGGTCCTGTTCTGCAGCAGCAGCACGAAAAGCTCCCCTCAGCTCTGAGCAAGGGCCGAACAGAGAGTAAGTCTTATCTCAGAGAACAAATGTTTTGCAGATGTTCAACAGCTGTTTGTGTTGCTTGAGAGAGAGCGAGAGAGCGAGAGAGCGAGAGCGAGAGCGAGAACGAGAGCGAGAGCGAGATGTTTCATTTCTCTGTTTAAATTAAACAAAGGCCTGATCTGTCTGAGTCTATCTTTTCATAGATGATCAAAATGTGAACTTTTAGCTCTGTTACCTACACAGTACTGTTTTATCATAATCTAACAGTAACTGAATATAAAAAAATAAAATTAGACCAGCCTTTTTATTTCCAAGACCAACACAGTTACTGTCTCGCTGCAGATTTCTCTTTCTGTTTTCTCTTGTGATCAYGCTGTAGGTTAAATGTTTTTGGTGTTGTGTTTTTCTTTACGAGTCTACATCTGGATCTCCTTAGTGAGTTGGAAAAGACGGAGCGAACACGTGGTGAAGCCTTATGTAAGAAAGAAAGTCGTCTTTGTTTTTTAATATTCTGTGACATTTTCCAGAACGTTCCTGACTTCAGCACAGGAGTTCTTAACCTACAAAGTCATTCAGTTGGTGATTTGTTTATTGCCACCCCCTTTTTTTTGGAACAAACTAATCAGACAAATAAGGGTTAAAATATTGCATTTTCATTAATAAACAAGTTTATACTTGAATACTTGACYCTATACTATTTTGTTCTGGGTGGGGGGTGGAGGTGCTTGATGGAGAGAACCCCTGCTTTAACATAAAAACAGACTCAGAATATTCACATAAACAACCAAGTTTAAGTTTTTTTTTTAAATAGCTTTTTTATTAAGGGGCAGATATAAAACTGTTTTCATATTCCTGCACCTTTTTCAGTCAAAAATTTATATATTACATGTACCCGTATCGAACATTATCGAACAGTGCTTTAGGTTCAACGCACACTTGTATCGAACAATACAGATTTTTAAAATTTATTTTATCAACTTGTCTTCTGAAGATGCTCTGTGTTGAAGGATCAGTGGATCTGTGTTCGACTACTCCACCTAGGCTGCATTTTTGGGCACAGAGCCACTGAGAAACTTGCTGTTTCAGTAACATTTAATTTAAAAACTGTACTTTTGAGGTTAAACAAATGTTCATAATTAATTTAAATAAATTACAAG